CCCCCCCCACCTCTTTTTTTCCCTACCGGAATCTAACTGGAGACCAATTGCAAAGTAAAGAGAGTGAGGGGTTGGCGGGTGCTGTGGTGTGGATTGCTCCTTCTTTCCTATCAAACATCCATCGTCCTTATCTCCCCTCCTCTCCTTTTTTATGTTTGTTCCTCTCTTGTAACACCTCTAATCTTCTGGCGCTCATATAACCTTGTGCAGTTAGTTGCGAGCGCCGTAAAACCTCTACTAAAACAAACAAAAGTATAGAGCCTCGGAAACCGGTAAACAGCCCACAGCAATAGATGTATACAAATAATGAGTAGAGAGGTGTTAAAAAAAAACCCAAAAAACGTGTGCGCACTACATGTCCCATCATGACATCCGCGGAAACTATCCGCAGAAGTGTTGTTTCTTTCTATGTTTGTTTGAAGTCGCTTTTTATTATTTTCTTGTTTTCTTAACTGCGAAGCAGGGCTCAGACCGGCCGCTGTTAACATGTCACCCGCCCTGAAAAGCGGTTTAGAGACCCCGCTCGAAGCTTACTCAAGATGTTCCGACACAGTTCCATTACGATGCATCTTGAAGAGAAATCGACCCCGTATCGTTTTGCTGCAGTCTAAGAGGCTTATATCGAGAGCGTGGAAGGGGGGGGGGGTGATAACGTAATGAGTCACTGGAAGCACTCTTTCAAATTATAGAGATGAGAAAACCCAGAAGGCCAAAACATGCACTTCTTAGGCCTTTTCCTTTCCCTGCAGTATTGGTTTGATTCACGGCTTTGCTCCTACGGTCGTTTCAGTTAATGTTTTACGACAGTACCGGTACAATTCAATGGTTTCTTTTATGAGTAAGGGCTGCTTTGACCTTTGCCTGTCATGGCTTGAGTGCGACACACCTCAGCAGAAAGACAAATATACTACATCAATTAATATCTTCACTGTGCCGGAACAGAACTCGTATCTTGAAAGTGCCCCAGGTCAAAAGCCTAACAACTGCATGCACCAAAGACGCAATTTGCTCGGTGCCCTGATGTGATTTGCTCTTTCTTTCTTATCAAACAGATATCGTTCTTATCTCTCCACATCCTTTCTCTTTTTTAATTGAATTTATCATTATCATTTTGTTGAATGTTACTCTCTCGAAACACCCTAGATGTGGATGGTTGGTAGGCCTACGTGCCCTGATGTGGGATGTGCATTTCCAATGAAATATCTATCGGCCTTATATCCCCTCTTTCTTTTTTTACATTTGTTATTTTCTCGTAACACCTTATAGAGTCTTCGGCATTTTATTGAGTTGCAAATGCCGTAAAACTCTTGCTAAAACATTAGGACACCCGGATTTCCTGCTTCAGCCCCGATTTATGAAAAAATAAAAGGGACACATCTGCTGCTGTCTTGTCCAAAGCACACGATTCTCGTCGTCGTCAGCGGGTGGCTGTGGGGGAAAATATCAGTGTTGATATAAACCGGAACAACCCGACTAATAATGTCAGCCTGCCCAGGGAACGAACACTGTTTGACCACCGCGTTAATTGATGGGGGTAAACAGGCGAGAAAAAAAACAAAACAACAACGCGACAACTTTGGCGAGAAATTTCACGTAAACACGCGCGCGCGCACCACACACACACACACAAACACACA